GCACGCCTCGCTGCAAGACAAGCTTGGCACTTATGGGGTGTCTTCTTGTGGCTTGTGCGACGTCCTTCAATGCGGTTCGTGCCTCTCCCGTACCCATCGGTGTCCACCGTGAAACAATGGCGACTTCAGGGCAAGACCCAGGAAGAGAATGGCATCGTCCCAAAGGGTACCTTTCAGAAGGCCGAGCTGTGGCAAGCATGGACAGTCAGCAACATGAGCGATTGCATTTGGCTTCGCAATCGCATGGGCATTCGCTACGCGTTCCTGGAGGACCCCATTCTGATGGGCATGCTGGCTGCGAAGAGTGCAAAGGGCCTGACGGCTCGTGTGAAAAAGGAGTCTATTGCGGAGGCCGTGGAGAAAGCGCATCAGTCCCAGATGCAAGGCACTGCGGACCAAGAGGCTCGTGCTATGATTGGTCCCAGAGGTGGCCTTCCAACCCTTCGCTCAGATCTTCTTCGTTTGGCAGCGTTGCTTCATGTGCATATTGGAGAGAAGGACACCGTGCCGGTGATCAAGGAGAAGCTGAAGCCTATGGTGGAAGCGCTCAAGGGCCGCACTCCGGCTGCCGACAGCCGAGCTTCGTCCTCAACGGCACAGCCACCACCTGTGCGTCCTACAAGCGCACCAGTGCAGAAGCCCGCGGCGAAACCGCCACCGAGGGCCATTCAGTCCTTCACACCACAGCCTTGCGAGGTGCTTCATCAGACTCGATCCATGGCCGCCCTGGAACAGCTTCTGAAGCAGGTCAGCGCCGCCGTGGAGCAGATCAAGGACCAGCCCTACAGCATGCAGACTCAAGGAACGATGCCTCAGCAATACTCTCTCGAGCAGGCTTCCGACGTCTCCATGAACGACTTGGACGCAGAGGCTCAACGCCAGCTGATGGAGGACGCCGCCCTGAGCATGGAAGCCGTCTACGAGGAGAAGCTGGAGGCCCAGTATGGCGAATGGGGCATGCTGGAGCTGACGCCGGAGCAGAAGGAGCGGGTCCTGGACCCGTGAATGAATGGAAGCTTCAGCAAGATCTCAAGAGAGGTCAGGCTCTTCTGATCTCTCAGGCTTGGGAGAAACATCGTCGTGATCAGCTCTCGCGTTTTGGAGTTGAGACCGCCAAGATCAACCAAGCTCTCCAGACTGAATTTGAGAATGAGATGAACTCCTTTGTGAATGATGAGGTCTTTGTGCATGCGATTGACTTCACTACATGCTTGAAGCCGTCTTCAAGTGTTTCGCAGAGCACTTCTTCCTTGAGGGCCTCTACATCTCAAAGTTCGTCTTCCGCGCCACCCTTTGTCTCTGAGGTGTACACGAACACCCAACGAGTGATGCGGGAGGCAGCACGTCGTGGTCACAGAGTGGGCACGCCAATGAGTTTGGAGACTGGTTAGAACTTTCTGGACGCTGATCACCGTGAAGCAGCCAAAAGGCTTGTGAGAAAGGAGAAGCCTTACTTTTTGATGATTGCATTTCCGTGTGGGCCTTTCGGTCCGTTGTTGAGGCTGAACTCTTCCGTGAACCTGGAGGAGATCTTGGAGAAGGGCCGCATTTTGATGCGATTTGCTTTGGAGTTGGCAGCCATTCAACATGAAGCTGGTCGGCACTACATCCTGGAGAACCCTCAACCAAGTGCCGCTTGGAAAGAACCTGACATGGTGAAGTTCTTGGACGAGTTTGAAGCCAAGGTTGCAAACCTTCACCAATGCCAATTTGGACTTCGCAGTCTTCGTGGTGGGCTTCACAGGAAAGCGACTCGTGTGGCATCTTCGAGCTTTCCGGTGGTTGCTTTGCTGGATGGGCGCGTGTGCGATCGCTCCCATGGTCATGACCCGGTCATTGGCGGCCGTGTGGTGACGGAACGGGCTGGGCACTATCCTGGACCTTTGGCACGCGCCTTTGTGGTTGGGATGGAGCGGCAGTTCAACAGCGAAGTGGCTCCTAGGGCTTCTGAAGTTCTGGCTGTGAGTCATGGTGAAGACGCTGATGAGGATGGAGAATCCAGTGGCATCTATTTCCCCGACAGTGAGACTGACGAGGAGGATGGCACGAAGACTCCGAATGCAAAGATTCCGGCTAGTGTGCGAGCTGCTATTGCTCGACTTCATGACAACACAGGACATCGCAGCAACAGGCGATTGGCTCGTGCCTTGGCGATCTCTGGAGCACCGGCAGCTGCCATTCAGGCTGCCAAGGAACATAAGTGCTCGATTTGCGCAGAGCGTGCTCCGCCCAAGTCACAACGTGTTGGTTCTTTGCCCCAGCCTCGTGATGTTTCCGACCAGGTGCACATTGATTTGTTGGAAGCTGAGGATTGCAAGGGCACCAAATACTACATCATCCATGCGACCGACTTCTGCACTCGCTTCCAGATGAGTGAGCTTTTGGAGAGAAAGACTGCAGGAGCGGTGGTGAATTTTTTGAAGACTCGATGGTGGCCAATTTTTGGACCTATGCGGACCTTGGTGGCTGATCAAGGCCGAGAGTTCATTTCGTGGGAGCTTCAAGATTTTTGTTCCCGCCACTCAGTGCTCCTTTGGCACATTGGAGTTGGCGCCCCATGGCAAAACGGCGTCGCAGAGCGCAGCGGAGGCATCCTGAAGACGATTCTGCAAGCTACAGTCATGGCGAACTCCGTGATTGGTGCTGAGGAGATGTCTCTGGCTCTTGGTGAGGCTACTATGGCATATAACCACGATGTGAATGAGACCGGCTGCAGTCCAGCTCAGGCCGCTTTGGGAAGACAACCTCGAGTCCCTGGAGATGTTTTGACTGACATTCAGTCGAGATTGGCTGAACACGACCTTTTGGACACCAAACCCGATCATGCCCGGCTGATGGCTCTTCGGGAGACAGCGAAGGTGAGCATGACTAGACTTCACTTCAGCCGTGGGTTGAGGCATGCCGAGATGGCACGGAGTCGAAACAGCACGATTGCAGATGTTCCTGAACCAGGCTCCATCGTCTACTTCTTCCGCTTCCAGAAGTATAACAACAAGAACACTGGCAGCAAGCGTCGCTTAGCTCTTCGCAAGTGGCATGGACCAGGTCTGTTGGTGGCTGTTGAACAAGGTTCTGAAGGTAACACTGGGGCGAACGCCTACATCTCCTTCAAGGGCCAGTTGACAAAGTGCAGCTTGGAGCATGTGAGAAGGGCGAGTCCTATGGAGCAAATTGTTGCTGGTGATTGGGAAGAAGCGATTCGTGAGGCAGTGGCTAGCGCCTTGCGTGACATGACCCGTAGTGGACTACCTGCTCGACCTCAAGAAGTACATGATCAACCAATCCCAGAGGAATCGGAGTGGCCTCCTGTTCCCATTAGCGAGAGCGAGAGTCCAAGCACGGAGAGTCCAGATGGTGAGCCACTTCCAGCTCATCCTGCCTTTCCCACCGTTGGTGAGACGCCGCCGGTGAAACCACGTGAACGTCAACCTTCCAGTGACTTGCCTCCTGTACATCCTCGTGAGATGGTGAATGCGTTGCAGTCAGGAACTGAGGCGAGTGTTTCGCGACTTCCCTCCCATTCTGGAGTGATGGCTTCGAGGTTGACGACCCCTATGACCAGGCAGAATACACCTATGGCAGCTCCACCCTTGTTTGCAGGTGCTTCTTCTAGTTCAGCTGGCGTGCTGGGTGCGCAGATTGAGCGTGCACGACTGTTGGAGAAACGCCCTGCGGAGATGGAGACGGAAGAGCTTCGATCCCTGGCTTCTTCACAAGCAGCCTTTGAACAACCTGTTGGACAACCTGGAGGTGAATCTGAGCTGCATGACACGTTGGTGGTGAGCAAGGAAGATGTGATGTCAGTGCTTGAGCAGGGTGACAAAGTACATCCTCTCATCAAGCTCTACTGTGAAGCTTGCGTTGACAGGGCAAACCCTCTTGATGCTCAAGTACACGACCACGGCACCTGGGATGGAAGATGGGGTCTGCCATCTCGCAGTGAGTTTCTAGCTCGCAAGAAACTTGGTTTGATGTGGCCTTGCGGTGCTGATGAACTTCATGAGGCCAATGCAGTCCAGGCTGCTCGAAAAGAGTACTATTGGCGTGCCATGACGCCTGACCAGAAAGCTGCCTTTCGTGTCGCTGCTGAAGCAGGTTGGTCTGTTTGGGAGACAAACGAGGCGGTCGAGGTCCTGGACGACAAGACTTCTCAGCGCATCCGCGCTGACCTGAAGGCCAAGAAGGAGGACTGCAAGATTCTGACTCCCAGGTGGGTGTTCACAGACAAGCATGATGGCTTGCGCACGAAGGAGAACAATCTTGGGCTCAAGGCCAATGCTCGGTTGGTCGTTCCTGGGTTCAAGGATGTTTTGTCTTTCAGCCTGCGCAAAGATGCGCCCACAGCCTCGAGATTGAGCCAGCACCTTGTTTTCTCCTATGTCGCTTCCTACTTCAAGGACCATGGCTGGAGGTTGATGAGTTGTGACGTGAAGTCCGCCTTCCTGAAGGGTGATCCTTATATGGATGGCACTCGCGAGCTTTTCATTGAGAACACCAAGGGACTTCATGGTGAACCTCAGTTGCCTTTTGGTGCCAGTTGTTTGGCGCGTGTGAGAAAGGGTGTTTTTGGTTTGAGCGATGCTCCTCGGCAGTGGTATCTGCGGCTTCATCGTGCTCTGACTGAACTTGGTTGGGAGCGCAATGTGATGGACGCAGCATGCTGGATGTTGTGGGACGCTGAGCGCAAGACGCTTTTGGGCATTTGTTTGTCTCACGTGGACGACCTCTTGGTTGGCGGTGGTGAGACGGCACGCAACAGCATCCTCTCCTTAGAGAAGGTCTTGGGTTTTGGGTCGGTTGAGCACAATTCCTTCAACTACTGTGGCAAACGAATTTCTCAAGATTTGACTTCCGGTGTGGTCACCGTGACTATGAAGGAGTACCACGAGAATGTCCGCCCAGCAGTTGTGCCTCTTCATCGACGAGCTGATCCCAATGCCCTGCTGACAAGTTCTGAGCAAAAGCAATTGCGAGCGCTTTTGGGAAGCCTCCAGTGGCTTGTGGCACAGGCTCGCATAGACCAAGGTTTTGCATTGAGCACTCTACAAGGAGAACAACCTCAGACAGTTGGCACCTTGCTTCGTTGCAACTTGCTCCTAAAGCAAATGAAGCTGACCGCTAGCTTTGGCCTGACCTTTAGGCCGATGTGCTTGGAGGATGCGGGTGTGATGGTGATCACAGACTCATCCTTGGGGAATGTCACCAAGGAAGGCTCCACCATTGGCTCTGTGGAAAAGCGTGTCTTCAGCCAGAGCTCCTACATGGTCTTGTTGGCGGACAAGAAGTTGATGTCCGGTGAGGAGGGCCAGTTCTGTCTCTTGGATGGGCGAAGTCATCGCCTGAGCCGTGTGTGTCGCAGCACATACGCTGCGGAGCTGCTTGGGGCTGAGGAGGCCTTTGACTGTGGCCAGTTCATCCGCGGCGTGCTTGCTTCCTTTCGTGGTTTTCCCATGGAGAACCGCTTTGTGGAGAGCATCATGGACCTTGTTCCCCTCAGCGTGGTTGTGGACGCTAAGGATGTTCATGACAAGTGCAACAGTGATTCCACCTGCGGTGCGCAAAAGAGTTTAGCTTTTGCTGTTGCATGGATGAGGTCAGTCCTCCGACGTCCTCGAACGTCACTGAGGTGGACGGCGACAGAGAACATGATAGTGGATGGTGGGACGAAGTTCATGGACATGCATCACATGAGAACCATCCTGAACCGTGGCCGTTGGTCAGTGAAGTTCAATGTGGACTTCATCAAGGGTAAGAGCAAGGGCACGAAGGGGAAGCCTGCTGCCGCCTTGAGTGAGGGCAATCTGCCCGGTGAGCCGTTGCCTGTGAGCCATCCTGTTTTTCCGTATTTGCATCAGTTAGGTGATCGACCTGGCTGGCATTTCGATGGTGATTTGGCCATCAATGTGGCACGAGATGCCAAGTCTTTCCGCTCCCCTGCTCCTAGGTGCGATGTAAAGAAGTTTCATCTGCGCAGCACTTTTGGCCGATTTGATCACGAGGCCGGTGCATCAGAATGGAGAGCACTTGAGGAGGAGGTTGATTTGAATCAGCTAGCCAATTTGCAGCAGCTGATCGGAGCCACAGCAGCAGCCATCCTTTGCACAATCTATCGTTCTCATCCAACAAAGAAAATAGAATCTACTGTTGAAGCTTGTGCCTTGGATGGAACGTGTTTGACCCCTGCTTCTGTGGCTTAAGTACTTGACCCGACTTTGCTACGCCATGTGGTCCGGCTAAAAGGTCACGTTGTTCGGAGCTGCCGTGCGGCCGCTCTTCATCAGTGGCACCGGAGCCGCCGTTTCAGGTCGCTTGTGCTGCCCGTACGCTTCCGCTACTGCGCTTGCTCCCTGGCTTTTGCACGTGCTTGGACTTCTACCCCTTCCCTTTTGAGTTTGACCTGGGTGATCCTTGCGGTTCAGGTCGGGTTGATTCAGGACAGGGCGGATAAGGAGTCCTTGGAATTTGGTGGGCACTTCAACCTAAGGTTCTTGGCCCGTTGCTTTTGCTTGTTGCACCCTTGTTTCCACCGCTAGTTGTCGAAGACCACATCATGGCCGATGAGGACAAGAATGGAGGGTCAGGAGCTTGGTCAAGAGTTCCTACCTGGGATGGAACCCTCAGGGCTGGAGAGCCTTCATGAGGGAGATGCAATGGTGGATGTCAGCCCTCGACCTTGAGGGAACGAAGAAATACAACCTGGCTGCACGATGGTTGTTGAGGCAGAGCGGCATTGTCCGCCAACGTGGCGAAGAATTCTCGCCTGCTGACTTGGAGTATCAGCGAGAGATCACCGCCACTGACCCGGTGACTGAGGAAGTCGTTGTCATTACGCCTGAGGATCCGTTGGCTGGCTTGCACAAGTTGTTGCGTGCATTGGAGGGCATCAATGGCAAGACGGTCCTTGATAAGCGTGGTGACCTTCGCAATGCCTTCTACTTGGAGCTCCGTCGACGACCAGGTGAAAGGTTGGCAGAGTTCTGCACGAGGTTCAGGTCGGCAGTTGCTGATTTGAAGGCAGAGGGCGTGGTTTTGCCTTCCTCGGAGCTCGGCTGGTTTTTGAAGCAGAAGCTTGGATTGGACGCGATTCGAGTTCAGTTGCTTGAGACGGCATTGCAAGGTAAGGAGTCGTATGAGGAGACGGAGCTGGAGGTCCTTCGACTCTTCCGAGACCTTCATGCGGCTGATCCGCTTGTGAGAAAGGGTCCTCCGTCCGATGGTCACCGTAACCCCATCTTGAACAAGTTCATGTCCCAGCAACACCACCAGCAGTACAGGAATCCCTCGTCGAAGAGTTCGTATGCCCCCCTCAACAGCTCCTTCAGGTTCATCGTTTGGTTCGAGCCGCATGAGCACTTCGTATCGGTCGGACAGGCCTTTCCCTCGAAAGCCACAGCAGCGTCAAGCTTTTGCTGCTGAGGTTGAAGAAGAAGAACCTCATGAGGAGACTCATGAGGATGAACCGGATGAGCAATACTCCCTGGAGGAGGTCTTGCAGGCTGAGGCTGAGATTCTGGCCACGGAGTTGGAGGAAGCCGTTGATGACGGCATTGGTCCTGACATCATTCAAGATGTCGAAGAGACCGTAGAATCGGCAGCGGAGGCTCTGTTGACTATGAGGGAGGCTCGGTCAAAGTTGGCTGAGGTTCGAAAAGATAGAGGCTATGGCAAGGCCTCGACTGGAGCTGACTCACCAAAAGGCAAGATGGCCAACAAGAAGAGCAAGCTTCCTTGTTTTGATTGCAACCAACTCGGCCACTGGGCCGGAGATCCTGAGTGCAAGAACCCCGGCGCTGGCCTTGGGCGTAAGAGTCCCAAGAAGCATCCGAAGTCGGTGAAGGTTGTCGAGACCATGAACACCGAGCATGTTGTTGCTGACCCCACACTTTTGCCAGCCGTCGATGGAAATGGAGCCCTTGCAGTGTCGTGTGTTTCCCGAAATTTGAAGTTGAGCGATGTTTTTCATGCCCCCAACTCCAAGGAGGTTCATGCCGTGCACACTGGCCTTACTGCAGACAAGCGTCTTGCGGGTGCTTTGGACAGTGCTTGCAACCGGACGGTCACGGGTTCAGAGTGGCTTCACAGTTTTCTTCGTTGTTTGGAGCATGCGCCCCAAGCTGTTCGAGATCTGGTGCAGTCGTCCCCTGAACATGAGGTGTTTCGTTTTGGAGATGGTGGAACTCAAGTTAGCTCAACCAGGTGGCGAATCCCCGTCATGCTGGGCGACACCGTCCTTTGCGTATGGGTTTCTGAAGTACCTGTTCCAAGCTTAGGTCTTCTTCTGGGCCGGGATTTCCTCGAATCGGTGGGGGCCAACATGTCCTTTGCCAACCGGGTGATCCAGTTTGAGTACTTGAAGTGCCATGCCCTTCCTTTGAAGCAACTTGCTGCAGGCCACTACATGCTGCGCCTGCTGCCGTCGCATTGGGCAGGTCTGGGCACCCAGAAGTGGAGGAGATTGGGCATTGATGGAGTTGTTGAACTTCAGATGTCAATGCAGGAATGGTTGAAAGTCAAGCTTGCTTCTTCTCATGCACGCAAACATGCACACCACGAGCACATGTTGACCGAACTCAGTGTGAAAGCCAGCCGTGTTGTGCATGGACTTGTTGAGCGTGGGTCTTTTGGTTCTTTGGGCTCAACGAGCACGGTTCAAGCCCCCATGCCTTTGTCTGGGCGAACCACTACCCCCCTCAACATCGTCTACGACGTCCCCGTCTTCGAGCTCGATTACCAGTTCTTTGGCTGACCATGCTAGCTGCCAAAGCCGCTCACAGCGCCGGTCGCGAAGACAACGAGACTCGGCAGCATGTCAGGTGGACAAGAATGGTCGCACGCCTCGCTGCAAGACAAGCTTGGCACTTATGGGGTGTCTTCTTGTGGCTTGTGCGACGTCCTTCAATGCGGTTCGTGCCTCTCCCGTACCCATCGGTGTCCACCGTGAAACAATGGCGACTTCAGGGCAAGACCCAGGAAGAGAATGGCATCGTCCCAAAGGGTACCTTTCAGAAGGCCGAGCTGTGGCAAGCATGGACAGTCAGCAACATGAGCGATTGCATTTGGCTTCGCAATCGCATGGGCATTCGCTACGCGTTCCTGGAGGACCCCATTCTGATGGGCATGCTGGCTGCGAAGAGTGCAAAGGGCCTGACGGCTCGTGTGAAAAAGGAGTCTATTGCGGAGGCCGTGGAGAAAGCGCATCAGTCCCAGATGCAAGGCACTGCGGACCAAGAGGCTCGTGCTATGATTGGTCCCAGAGGTGGCCTTCCAACCCTTCGCTCAGATCTTCTTCGTTTGGCAGCGTTGCTTCATGTGCATATTGGAGAGAAGGACACCGTGCCGGTGATCAAGGAGAAGCTGAAGCCTATGGTGGAAGCGCTCAAGGGCCGCACTCCGGCTGCCGACAGCCGAGCTTCGTCCTCAACGGCACAGCCACCACCTGTGCGTCCTACAAGCGCACCAGTGCAGAAGCCCGCGGCGAAACCGCCACCGAGGGCCATTCAGTCCTTCACACCACAGCCTTGCGAGGTGCTTCATCAGACTCGATCCATGGCCGCCCTGGAACAGCTTCTGAAGCAGGTCAGCGCCGCCGTGGAGCAGATCAAGGACCAGCCCTACAGCATGCAGACTCAAGGAACGATGCCTCAGCAATACTCTCTCGAGCAGGCTTCCGACGTCTCCATGAACGACTTGGACGCAGAGGCTCAACGCCAGCTGATGGAGGACGCCGCCCTGAGCATGGAAGCCGTCTACGAGGAGAAGCTGGAGGCCCAGTATGGCGAATGGGGCATGCTGGAGCTGACGCCGGAGCAGAAGGAGCGGGTCCTGGACCCGTGAATGAATGGAAGCTTCAGCAAGATCTCAAGAGAGGTCAGGCTCTTCTGATCTCTCAGGCTTGGGAGAAACATCGTCGTGATCAGCTCTCGCGTTTTGGAGTTGAGACCGCCAAGATCAACCAAGCTCTCCAGACTGAATTTGAGAATGAGATGAACTCCTTTGTGAATGATGAGGTCTTTGTGCATGCGATTGACTTCACTACATGCTTGAAGCCGTCTTCAAGTGTTTCGCAGAGCACTTCTTCCTTGAGGGCCTCTACATCTCAAAGTTCGTCTTCCGCGCCACCCTTTGTCTCTGAGGTGTACACGAACACCCAACGAGTGATGCGGGAGGCAGCACGTCGTGGTCACAGAGTGGGCACGCCAATGAGTTTGGAGACTGGTT